CAGTCTGTGTGAGGGGCTTAGAAAATATGGGCTTTAGCATTTCTGTGCAACTCTTTATGGTAAAACAAGAGCAGTGAAAGGGAGGTCAGTGAGGACCGAGCTCTTATACAAAATTGAGCTCAGGGACAAAGAATCTCTTCCTTCAGAAATTGCTTTTAGAATGTGTGTAGATTGGATTAAGACCAGACCAAGACAAACCTGTAGAACACAGAGCCAGTTTTCACCTGGTATTGGCCAAAACGAAAGCATTGTTCCAGCTCAACTATGACCCATAAAAATCCTGTTGATTAGTTCTTGAAGTCTACTTTGGATTTCTTAACCTGCAGCTGTACTCAAACTCCCACCCCGCCGTGGGGTAGGGCAGTGCTGAGGCGTGATAAGGGCCTCTCTATTGAGCATTAGTTGGCAGAATTCTCTAGAACTTAGTGAGACCCTAAGTGTCATTACCTGCTTCTTAGCCTCCATTTCATGTCTGAGGAAATGCGGCTGTAGCCAGAGGCCTTGCCGAAGCTGCCAGAAGCAGGGCTGAAGTGAGCTGTTCCATGTTCCATTTCAGTGTTATTTCTGCTCTGCAGTATTCCTTTCACCTTAAGGCTACTATGTTAGTTCTATAGTTTTAATGGTTCTTGACATAATATTAGGATTTGGACTTATATGTTTGTATTCAAAATTGCTTTCCATTCACCTACTTCACTTTATAAGGAAGCCATTCCATTCTTTGGGATGTTGCCATCGGGACTGGCGACAATATAGCAAGCTTGGCAATGACATCAGAATGGAATTGTGGGCAGAGAAAAAGGGGCCTAGGAGCTTTGAGAAATTTTCATTTTTTTAACAAAAGTAATTATCTTGGAGCAAGAGAACCTCCATTCAGGGAAAAACATAAGTTGCCTTAGGCTTCAGGTACCTTTAAGTACCTGAAATTTCCCCCTTTCAGGGGGAAAATGCCTTTGGTGTTTTATTCTCTCAGCTCTCTCTGTTTTCTCCATTGGTAATTCCATTGGATTTCCAGGTTTTCACTATCACTTACAGAAAAAGAATTCAAAATTATTCCTTCAGCTATCATTTCCTAAGTACCCAGCCCCTTTTCCCAACTATGTCCTGGGCACGTGGTGCGGGCCCTCCCCAGGCTGCTCAAGTACAAAAGTACTTCCACCTACCTGGACTCCCAAAGATCTTATTCTCTACCTTTCTCATAGCACATCCTTGTTACTTAATAGAAGTACTTGTTGAGCATATACTGTGTATCAGGCACACACATAGGCCCTTTATATACATTTTCATTTAGTCTCCTCAGCAGCACTATAAGACCTAGAAGGGCCTCTACCCAGACATCCCAACTTAATTGGTCTGGGGTACAGCCTGGGCCTGGGGACCTTTACAGACTCCCTGGGTGACTCCCACGTGTGAGAACCGCTGGTGTAACTCCAGAACCAGTAGCCAGCTATTCTCCAGCAGTAGGTGCCACATTTGGAGCTTTGAAAAATAACCAAATGCTCGACCACAGCCCAGCCCAACCAAATAGTAATATCTGGGGGTTAGAGCGGGGAACCCTCCATGTGTGAACAGAGCTTCACAGGCGATTCTTCACATGACCAGGATGGAGAACCACCTTCTCAATCAGACATGGTACCATCTCCCCATACTACTGTACTGCAGGTAATTATGTATGTCCACTCTACTCTGTAGTCCATACACTCTTTAAGGACAAGTTTGCATTTTATTCACCTTGATCTGTTCCCTGGCACCTAGCAAGATCCCTTGTTCATAATATGTTTTAGAAACTAAAAAAAAAATTTAGAAATAAAATATAATGCCCTTTGATGACCTTATTAAAAAAACAAGGAACACCTTTATGCAATAATTAGTCTCTGTGTACTAGGTTTTTAATCTCTAACATACTGACCTAGAACTAAGCAAGTCATTTCAGTCCTCTGAGCATCACAGTAGCATGGCTGTGCACTGTCAGAGTCGGAATTCGAACCCAGCTCCTCTGACAACTCTCCTTCCCTTGTATCTCTGGCCTGAAAAGCAACTACAAAGGGAAATAACTATCTATGTGTTTTGATAGATGCTGTCAGACTTGTTTCTATCATCTGAACATAACCTGTCACATGTTGGCATAATGAAATGGATTTGGAAACACATATCAATTTAAAACCAAAAATTAATTATGTGACCTAAGAGATCTCCCCTTCTCATCAGTGGGACCCTTCCTACCTGCAGAGGTACATGTGAACAAACACACCCTTCAATTCTTCATTGACATTTCTTGACAAGTATTTAATTACTATCGTACATTGGTAATTTTCTTAGTTTTCCTTTTCTTGGTTTGTGCTATGTCTCAGACTTTCCAAATAACCTGAGATTCTGATTGTAAGGGAAGTTTATGTAAAGGTTTATATACAGATACTGAAGACAGTAAATTGGCATAATAGTTCATTCAGTTCGTGAATTCATTTCATGAATATGTGCACAAAATGTGCACAGGGCGAAAGTTGAAATGACAGACAAAGCCTGGAAACCTGGATTCCAGGCCCTTTTTTTTTCTTGCCATTTCCAAGACAGATGACTACACAGGGAGTGAACTTTCCAGAACTTTTTTCCTCACCTAAAAAATGAAAGGGACAAGGACCTAAACTAGACTCCCCCCCAATTTTTCTTTCAAATATTATTTTAAAGGATTGTAGAATTTCATAATTCATCACCAGGATTTTGGTCAAGATTAAATTAATAATTACTAGTTATCCTTATTATCCTGTTGATACTTTTAAAAGTGAATAGATTCATAATGAAATTTGCAGACTTCTTTATAATTTAGAAAGTGTTCACCTCCATTACCTCCTTTGGTTTTTGTAACAGGATTGCAGAATAGTTATTACCCCCCCATTTCACAGAAAGTTGAACTGAGAAGCAGAGAGGTTAGGTGACTTGCCCAGGGAAACGAAATCAGAAACTGACAAATCTAGAACCTACTGGACCCAACTCTGACCCTCAGCGCTACGGCCATGTCCACGGCCATGGGCCCAGCGGACCTGACGTGCGGACGGCTCAGCCCAGCAGCCTGTCTGCCTCCCCCAAATGTCTTCTAGCCCAGACACCTATCGATCACTTCAGAATAGAATACCAAGCAGGGACTTATTCAGCATATCATTCCTGGGTGTGTATTTTCCTGAGCATTTATAGATCTGTGTTTTTCCAGGAAGCTGAGTGTTCCCGATAATATGACGGATAATGATAAGTGAGCATCTGTGTGAGTCTAGCTGAGAAGAGGACCAGGAACTGTTACCACCCCTCCTGTGAAGTTAATCCAATTCCTTTTAGCTATTTCTTTATTAAGGAGTTCCTCCCCCCCCAAAAAAAATGTGACTGCGATAGCATTTCAGCATCGTTGCCTTTAGGAACATTTTCAAATATTCATAGAGTAGCTTGTCTGACCAAAGCTTAAAGCAAAGGCGCACGAAGTATGAATGTAGTTAACTTCAGATGTGGGTGGCCAAAAACTGCTCCTGAAATAACCTAAGTAAGCCTCCTCATTGGCGATACCAGGTGAGCAGCTCTGGGCGCAAACGGGAGGCGGCACCAGGGAAGAGGGGTGATTCAGAGCAGCCAGGACTCCGAGGGGCAGCCCTCAGGCTCTGGTCCTACTTCCCAACTGACCACAGCGTGGTTTGCTTTGGGAAAATTGAATAACTTAAGGGAAACAAAAACAAAATGAAAAAGGAATTCCCAGGCAAGCCCCTAGGAAATCAGACGCTAGGTCTTACTGCTCCTTGGAGGCCAGAGACCTGCTTCCCACTTGGTTCCTATGGCAAAGACAGAAAAGAAAAATCTCAGAAGATGGTCTGGTGCTCAGGGACGCATTTGGAAAGGCAAACCAATGTGGAAACAGCTACTGCATGGAGCTCCAGGGTCCAGTGAATCACAGCAATTACGTCTACAACCTGGTTTTAGAGGGTCCTCCACACTGTTTCTTAAAAACAGAGGTAGCACTCTCTCTCTCTCTGTCTCTCTCTCTCTCTCTCACACACACACACACACACACACATCTTCACCCCTCCCCCATACACCCAACTTCATCATCCCAAAACACAGCCACACAAATGCTTCCCACTTTCCACACTATCATGATTCTGTTTCCCCAAAACAGCGTGTAATGAAGTTAGCACTATGGCTCTTCTACAAGCAGTGTATAAGCAAAGGAACTTTTTCAAAGGATGCCTTTTGTTTCATTCTGGGTGGTCTGGACGATGTAGTGTATACTTTGGCTAAAAACTAAAAATTAGAGTTTAATATTCTCCTTCCTGTTTCTGCACAAGTAACCAAAACAAGCCCCACAAATGGTGCAGGTCTTCTTAACCCTGCTTCAGGAGGAGGTTGAGGAATAAGGAATGGAGGACCATGGCCCCTGACCTTCAAACTCTTGGGCACTGTGATAAATCACAGTATTACTGGGACTCAGGGCTGCCTATGAATATCTATACTCAAAACGGACTGTTCATGCCGTTGCCACTGAGTCTTTTATTCCGTGGAGTCTTTGGTTGGCCTTTGCAACACCAGCCCCAAATGGAGGAAAGCTCTGAGCCACACTTCTGAAAGAAGATGGCCATGTAGTCCCACTCAGCAAAGATCTGGAGAGAAACAAACATCATCCATTAACAAGGGCTGGTAATGCAAAGTTTCCTTTCATAGCTCACTGCTCAACTTTGTGGTCATTTTATCTGGCTATGAACTTCCTCTAAATGCAAAAAAAAAAGTTCTTGAAAAAATAGCAATAGCACAGCATAACGATAATGGTGCCTTGAGAAATGCTTGGAGCATAATATTCCTCTTTTGTTGCAGGCCTTGAGGACGCTGAGGGCACTTTGACAGCCATTATATTACAAAAGATACAAGCCAATGTAGGCTGTGCCAGATGTAATTTTGCCTTTCTCAAAAGAAACACTGCTACATCCCAGATGTAAATTTGACTGTGTCCTGCACTTACTGTTCCATTACAGGTGATTCACATAACAGGCCGGCTACGACTGAGGGTGTCGCTGTCCCACGGGAGGACCGTCCCCAGCCAAATCATGGGGCTCGTGGTCGTGGCGCATGCCTTGCCTCCCCCTACAATCAATGAAGTCAGAATCGACTGCCATATGTTCGTCACTCGAGTAAATATGGACCTCAATATCATTTACTGTGAAAATAGGTACTTGGATTTTGTTTCCGTTCACCCTGCTGTATGTCGCACATTGGTGAGGGTTGGCGTTTTCCGCAGCCTGAAGGATTGGACTCTCCCAATGAGGCTCATTATAAACCCTAATCTTATTTTTAATGGCTGCTTGGACTGACACCAAACATGCTTTTTATTTAAAATGGACATTGCTACCCTGATTTACATTAGGGATAACAATGGAATGAATGGGGATACCCAGACATCCATGTGCTATAATTAAGGCCCATTTTGGCCAAAAACCCACGGAGGGGGCAGGGCTGAGACATTACCGGGAAAATGATGCAGGAAAAGTTATCTCCTGATCCTCGGCCAGACCCTCCCCCTGACTACCACAGGGGCCCAGCCTCATAACGGTCAGCGTTCAGACGGGCATTAAGCCCACCACCTTAGTCATCTTAGGCCGCTATAACAAGGTACTGTAGACTGTTGGCCTAAACAACAGACATGTATTTCTCATTGTTCTGGAGGCTGGGAAGTCTAAGGTCAAGGTGCAAGCTGATTAGATTCCTGGTGAGAGCCTCCTCCTGGCTCACAGATGGCTGCCTTCTGCTGTGTCCTCACATAGGGAGAGGGGGGCTCTGGTCTCTTCTTTCTATGAGGACATAAATTCCATCGCAGGGGCCTCTGTCCCCATGACCTCATCTAAACCAGAGGTCCTACCTCCATCACATGGGGGGAAAGGGCTTTAATATACGAATCCGCAGGACACAGAAACATTTAGTCCAAAAGAAATAAAGAGAACCAGTAAGAATTTTGAGCACCCCAAAGGAAAAAAAAGACAAAAAAATTGCATCAGGTTCTGATTTTGATATAGGTCATCAGACTGGTCTGGGGCTTTCTACACATGTAGTAAGTAAAACTTTGTAATTCGCACTTTCATAAATTTAAGAAAAGATGACTCATTGTGTAAATGACTTGGCAGTCCTTCCTCAGGGTTGAGCTTTTATAAAAGGACTTTTGAGCCTTTGGTTGAAAGTTCACTTTTTCCATTAAGCAAAAAGCAAGAGACAAGGCAAAGGAAACTGCCCTGTCAGACCTTTCACCTGGAAGTCACCAACCATCATCAGACTAATTTAAGGAGAACAGAATCAGGGATGTGGGACGAGGGGTGGAAAGAGCTGTCCACATGCCGGCTGCTGAAGGCAGGGTTGGCAATGCTGTCCATCCCCGGTGCCACAGGAAGAACTGCTGAGTCGAATTTGAGATGCTTTGTGGCACAGAGTGTTGTCAGGCATGAATACAGTATATATCCACTGAGCCTTGTGAGTGCCAATGGAGGAAAAATGGAAGAGCGGATGGTCAAGTGGCTTGGGTAACCAACCTCTCCAGGGCAGCGCCAAGAGGTGGACAGACAGCATCTGCATTCAGTCCACGGGGAAGCCCTAACGATGTCGAGGTTGCGTTAGAAGTGCCTACCATTTCTGGTCAGGATCTGATTCAGAGGAAAGAATTCACCAGTGGGAGAAGATACCCACCTGACTCTTAATGTTCAGTGGGACAGAAGATATCATGAACCCTTCACTATTATTTAATAAGTAACTCTAAATCTATTTTTCAAGTCTTGGTGGCATTACAATTGTTATCATCATGACTGTATACTTGGCTATATCTAAGGTATCCTGGAATGACCACAGAATATCAGGAAAGACAACCAGAACGATTGGCAATCGTTGGCAAGTAATAATAATGATGGCTAACATTTATTGAATGCTTACTATACACTTGGCAATGTGCAAAGGTCATTATACACGGTGGGGCAAAAATAGGTTCATAGTAGTTCAGGTAGAAAATAATACAGTAATTAATATAATAAATAATAATACAAGAATGAGCCCTATATTTTACCTATTCACAACCGTAATCCCACACTGCGTACACCATCTCACTTAAGCTTCTGGATGGTTCTGTGAGGTAGGTGTTGCCATTGTCTCATTTCCCCCAAGGCCAAGATTTGGACCCAAATCTTCCAGATTCAGAAACCAGGCACTTAGCTACGTCCTGTGGGGTCACCCTGCATTCCGAATTGTGTCTTATTTTTCTTCAGAAGTCAGGTTAGATGGTAAGGAATTGGTCAGAATAACATATGCACCCATGAAAAACATAGTCACAGACCCATAAAGCTATTTATTTGCTAATTTAAAATGTTAGCAGCGTTGGACACCCAAGGAGGCAGACAGAAAGCCAAAGGATGAACTAGGCTACTGCTTCTTTGAAAACACATGTCAGCTCCTTTGGTTTAGGTTTACCACCAGCAATCCCTTAAAAATGAAATGGAGACTCATCTCCTTTACCTAAATGTACCCAGTGATTGTCCTGTCTCAAAACCAGCCCCTACTTTTCATTCCTGTAATCACAGATTAATTCTTTCTGATGCACTCCATGCACCCGGGTGCCTTGTGGCGCCACAGTGCCCCTCTAGTGATTGAGATGTTCTGCCATCACTTTAAGGTTTTTCTTCTTCCCATTTAAAAAACAAAAAAGTTTCCCACAACCCCTTATTAGCCAATACAATACAGCATTATCTTGCAAATGAAGGGGACACTAATCATTAAAAAGACCTGTGTGAAAGGTAATCACATATTTGCTCTGAGGGAGAAGTGTCCCTATGTCAGGGGCTGTGCTACCTTCATTTCATTCACTGTCCCCATCACCAACCTCTCAGGCCGTTTTATACGCAAGGAACCTGAGGCTCAGAGTGTAAGGTGCAGTCGGATTCTAATTCTAACAGAGGTCATCAGACTGGTCTGGGGCTTCAACACATGCAGTCAGAGGTCTTTGAACACACGGAGCTGGTCACATTCACCAAGGTAACAGGCTTCAGTACAGAGAAGTGCTTCAGTCATTTGGAAGGATTTCATTCAACTAAAGAATAAACTAAAAAATGTCTTCCCTAAGGAATGAAGGGGACTTTTCCCAGGGTTTATTGTTTAATTAGGAAATTGCTAACTAGAAACTAAAGCGGATCCTGGACTCTGCAGACCACTCTCCCCCCACCCCACCCCTCCCGGCCCCCAGGACAGCCTCAGGCAGAGCTGCCATCTGATGCCACCGGAGGAGCTGGCACATCTCAGACACACCAACAGGGGCTTTTTAATGACATCCTTGTTCCCTCGTTTGGAGAAAGGGGGTGAAAACTGTGTGGGGGGAAAGCAGCTAATGGTCTCAGGAAAATACCAACTCATCTGTTTTGTACTAGAAAACCAGGGAATCCTGAGAAAATACTCCCTTCTATTGCCCATTTTGTCTTATCTTACCAAGAATTCTGGCTTGGTCAAAAATATGATTTCCATTGCTAGGCACTGAGAAATTCACTCACTGGGCAGTATGTTTTCATTACACTTCATATTATTCTGCTCTTGTTTTATTTCTTATTTCCCTGCCTTGGGAGTCACATTTAGCTCCCCAGCAGTGATCTCATGAGTTTCTTAAACATGTCATTTCTAAAAATTCATTTCATATTATATGTCACGTATCCCCAAATGCACAGGGACATTAAAGAGATTAAACAAAAGATATAGTTTATTTTAGACTGACCAGCGTGAGTCTGTATTTGGAAAGGGGGGAGGACAGAAAGCATTCTGTCGTGTTCGTGTAAACCAGGCAGATTCTCCCAACGTGTTTTCCAGTTTTGTTCTGTTGTCCTGTGCTCCTGCCTGGGGACACTGACATCTGCACTGTCAGTGACAGAGGCTCACACACACGCAATCGCGAGCACTAGGCTGGCAGAGCTGCTGAAATGGCTGAAAAGTTTCTGTGTGGAATCCACCACGAAGGACCAGTTAAAAGGGGCAGGAGTGAGAACCGAGCTCCCACATGGCTGAGACTAAAAAAGATAATACCCCCAGGCATCTGTATGTCTCCGCATTTAAATTATATCCCTTGAAATGCCAATTTGGACTTGGTGCCAAGAAGCAGTTGAAGCCCTTTTTCATGGAAATACCCAATAGAAGACCAATCTGTTTAAATGAAAGGTGTCTCTAATCATTTGGTATAAACATAACATGTTTGTATTAGGTAACCTTGAATTATCTTGGCCTCTAATGAGGAACTTGCGTTGTTCCCGATTCTCAGTAGTTTCATCAAATTATATTGTCTAAATGTAAATTCTGATGAAAAAAAAATCCTATCTAATTATTTACACACGATTGCTTGATCTAGCACATTTTCTACTTTTTGGAAAAGCCTGCCATTCATTGAAGAAATGATCTTATGTATAAAGGACTTTCCCTCAAAGTGCCAAGTCCTCCTGGGTCCCCCGGTGGGATGAAAATTGCCAGTACATTTGTTTCTAAGTCGTCTGACCCTTTTTCTGTTTTCTCCCTTCCTCAATTCCAGTCTGTTGTTCTTGTTGCAGGATCAGCGATTACATGGATCTGACCCCTGTAGACATCGTGGGGAAGAGATGCTACCACTTCATCCACGCCGAGGACGTCGAGGGCATCAGGCACAGCCACTTGGACCGTAAGTCCCTCTTGAGTGTGGGCACAAGCGGGCTGGTTTTGTCTCTCTGCCTGTTTGGTTTCAGTGCTGGTTTCTCCCTTCTTGTCTCCTGTGTACCATTGGGATAACTGCCAGCATACAGTGAGATGTGAAACATCAATTCCTTCAACTTGTGTTGGAGTTACACTGAAAGTTGGACCTGAGGCCGAGGGAAATTGCTGGATCCTGAGGTGCTCACTCGGGTTTCGTGGTCTCTTGTGCTTTCTCTCCGATGAAGTAATGGTGGAACCTTTGTCTTAAGTGCTTTCTTGGCCCTTTCGTATTCTAGGGAGCAACTTCCACTCTGAAATTCGTGGTCTCAGTTTCAAAATATACACAGGAGAAGACAGGTTCAAACAGAACCTATAAAATTCCTACTCGACAAGCCACAAAACAAGGGGGAAGCCCAGGAACAGGGGCAGAACGCATGGTCTGGACACTGCTCTCAAAGGCAGTGTCTTCTCACTGTATTTCTGGAAAGAGGGTCATTGAGAGGAGCAGGTACCTCCATCTCCAGACTCCTGGGAGAAAGGAACTAATCTCTGAGCCTGGGTCCCAGCTCCTGAGCAGCAGGCTGACCTCCAAGGCACCTTTTGTGGCATTTAAGCAAAGCAGAACCAGCAGTTCTCTGGCTGGGTCCTAGTAGTAACCTGCCCACCAGCGTCCTCCTGCAGTTTTCCCTCATCAGACTCATCTGGGCTGTGTACACTGAGCACGGAAGGGGTCTGATAAGCCCGTAAGGTGAGAGGCACTGGGTAGACCTCTTAGGAAGGGGCTGTCCTTTCTTCTGCCACCCAGAGGCCCTTTTTGTGACCAATCTGCAGATTCTTCCTAAAAGAGGAGGGCCCTACCAGCTTTACTCCTCAAAGGTTCTGAACCCAGTCCTGAACTCTGATTTTAAATACATGCGAGGTGCCCCAAATGAGACGGTACACCTTGAAATTGATGCTTGTTGTAGTAAAAGCAGTCAGGGGGCCTTTGTATTTTTTTCCTCTCTCCTTTCTCACCATGGCTGAGGAGAGCTGTCTCAGATCTTCCCTTTGCAGTTGTTTGCCCATTTCAAACTTGGATATTCAAAAAGATAATGGAGAGACAGTGAGCTAGCCAAAGTCTCAGATTGGGAGCATCTCATTCCATGCTTTTAACCCTGCATTAGCAGCAATGACCTGGGACCAAGTTCAGTGTCAAACTTTGTATATGCCACGTCTGTGGGAAATGTCTGCCTTCCAGGCTGCCCAGCAGCAGATTCTACTCCTGGCAAAGAGCACGTGCCTTGGTATCGCACACCAGGGGGTTCAGGGGCACACTTGCTGCTTCAGATAAATGGGTGTTGTGTGGGGCAGGATCAGATGGCCCTTCAATTAATCGGGGGGAAATGATGCTGTTTCCTGAAAGGAAACATCAGGTTTTTGTAGCTGGGAATTTCAAGAAAATGGAGAAAAATTAGAATTTTTAGAGGAAGCTGTGAATATCTTTTTGAACCAATATGTGCCAAAGAACCAGACTTTAAAAGTGAATATATTCTTTTTAGGATACTATCATAGACCCCATGTGTGGGGAGAGAAGGGTGCTTTTTCATTTGGGAATCTTAATTGAGGTCTAAATTCAGAAACCCGATGCTACAAAAAAGAACTTTGTCATCCTCAGTTATTGTTTGGGAAACATCGTGCTCTCTCTCTGAGATTTGATTTGCAGCCTGAAGAAACCCAATTGCTCAGGTACAGAGAGCTCGGGCAGTTCATTCCTCCCCATAAAGCAAAGGGCTCCAACAAAATATGTTGGATGCCATTCTCTCTGATCTACTTTTATCTCATTTTCAGTAACCAGAATAATTTGAGAGTGCTGAAAATAAACAACTCTCCATTCACTATTGTGCTAGTCTCCTAATTTTTCTGGTATCTTGCCAGCTAATAAACAGAGAAGGTATGCTTTTAAATTCTGTGATTTTTTTCATTACTTGATATTGACATACTGGCTATTGCTTTATGATTTAGCCCACTAACCATGATTGAGTTCACTCTTTCAACTCATACACATGACTTCTAATTTTAAGTTCTTTTAATAACCTTAAACATATGAAAAACAAATAGAATGAGCTGATAATTCTGCACAGTAAAATACACTTCACATATTTAGCTATCACGCTGAGGAATAACTCCACAATGTCAAGTAGCACACAATTAGTAAAACTGTAGGGGGAGGAGAAGGAGTGTTTTGATCCTGAGGAATTTTGATCCTAATCAGATTGAAATTTCAGCGTTCTTGTAGTACTTAATATCTTCAATCACACACACACACACACACACACACACACACACACACACAGATCCAACTGATGTCAATGTCAGGTTTTGCATTCTGTGACTGAAATAAAATGCTAAAATATACAAATGCATCTCGCTTTGTACAATAAACATTAGCATCATTATAAAGTAAGATTGAGTCTAAAATTGTGTGATGGAATATCCCGTGTTTACCTAATTCTCTAACCAGAGCCAGCCCAGTAACAAAATGACAGAGCATGCAATAAGTCTTGGTTGTGTAAACAGTGGGAAAAAGGCAAAATGCCAGCACAGCATCTTGCTTGTCCAAAGCCCTAGGCTATTACTGAAGGATGCCTTGACTGTGCCTTCTTGGCAGGAGAAGGTCATGGTGACATAGAATCAGCCCAAGAATAAGACAGAATTCTAAAACAAAGGGATGGTTCGAAAATAAACCACATTAACTATTTAGCTTTTCTTCCTAAAGCTATTGGCACAATTCCTGGTTCTGTCCACGAAAGACAGTTTTTAGTTATCTGATAATATTGTTGATACTTTGATATCTGTCTTGTGCTCCAGTTTATGGGTAAAACTTTTTTAAAAAGACTCAATAGACTTTGATAACCCAAAATGCTATCTTTATCACTTATATCTCTTTTCCTAGCATATACGTCTGCAAATCCTTAGGCAAACTTGTCTCTAGGATAAGAAAAGTAAAAGGAAATCTCAGCTGCACCAGCATTTGACAACTTTGATAAATTGAACCAAGAACGTTGGGCCATCTACTTTCCCATTAGGTTAGCATGAGATACCTGATAGTTCACTGGGTTTCAATGGAGAGAATCACTACAAATCACATTATCTATACTAACATGGTAAGTTAGTGAAATTATATTGGTGTTCTAAAACCAGGGGAGTATCACTGTAGGTCCTCCTTTTTTCACACTGTGAGCAAAATCCTCTGATTTTTTTCTCTTTGTCACCTCACTGAAGTCACTGAACCCAAACTCACTGATTCTTCAGGTCAAATTGACCAAATCAACATGTCAAGGTTTGAATTTTAAACCATTCATATTAGCATTTTTTGAGCATCTTTGCCTATCACCCTCTAGTTCTCCACTGCTCAGGAGGTATTGACCTTGAGATGACTAGTCATTGTCACCCTAGAGTCGCATGTTCCAGTTCCATATTGAACATGAAGGAAGCAGCACAACCACCTACTACTCCACCTGTACCTGCAGCCTGAAAAATAGAAGGGCAAGTCATAGGTGCTGAACCAGACAGAGATACATGCTTCTCTTTAGTCCCTTTTAACCCAGGCTTTTGCCTACGGAAAATACTAAATTTGTCTCGAGATACCCCTAGGGTTCTCCCCTGGTCAAATCAACAACTCTCTGCAACCTGGAAAGAGTCCTGAGGAAAAACTTCCTTTCCCTTTATAACACTGTGCTCCACCAGCAAGGTCCATGTCTGGAGCTGTGGGTTTTAGAGGAGAGAAGCCAGCAAGCACAGAGGTGGAGGCAGTTTTCCCTTCCCGAAACCATGCAGGATGAGGAAACTCTGGGCTATTTCAGAAAGAAAGACGGACTTCCAGCTTTTCTATAAGATCATGGAGAATTAAAAAGCATGGTCTGTTCAATGTATTTGGAGGTGGTTAAAAAAATACAGTAGCCTAAGTGTTTATTTCTTAATTACTAAATTCTATACTTCCTAACAAAAGGAATACACAGCTACCTGGCATAATGCATCCCATGCTGTTTTGCATCAATAACCTCTACACTTTCCTCCTGAAGGCGTCTCATCGCCAATGCATGCCGACTGCTTAATGCAGGACTAATTAGTATATCCCCTTCCAGTCTGCAGGCCCTCCATTGTAATTCCTTCCCAGCTCATTTTTTTCCACAACGGAGCATCAATCAAAGTAAGTGCCCTGCCTGCCTAGGAAACACAAGATGTCCTCCGTGCATTTGTCATCTGCCACACAAACAAAGAGGGAATTTAATCGTTGATTTGGGTATGCTGCCATTGCACTCAGTAAAGGAGGCTGCAAGTGAAGGGAGAAGGGCAGGTAGGAAGTTTGATGGGTGGGCTAAATGCAGAGAACACGGGACTATCTTCTATTCTCTGATATTAGCTTTTTTTCAGGCCTGAATCTTTAGGGATTTAGCTACAGCCTAATCATTGGCTGGACTTTTTTTCTCCAAAGCAAATGATTTTTTCCTCATCCTCCATATAAATATGAAAATTACCACGAAAGGAACTATGTGTAGGAGCTATCATGTCTGACTTCTCTTTTAAAGGTGTTATTTATTTATTCTTAGAGAGGGGAAAGAAGGAGGAGAGAAAGAGAAACATTGATGTGAGTGAGAAACCTTGATTGGCTGCTTCTCACAGGAGTCCTGACCTGGGACTGGGCCCACAACCCAGGCATGTGCCCTGACCAGGAATTGAACTGGTGACCTTTTTGTTTTACAGGAAGATACCCAACCAACTGAGCCATGTCAGTCAGGGGATGTCTACCTTGTTCTAAAAGCCAAGTCAGCCTAGATGGTGCGCCTGTTCACTAATTAAAAAAAAACTGTAACATGGAGACAAAAAAAAGTCAGGTTTTTATACAGGAGTAAATTAGCATTTTTATTTTATGTTTTTTCTTGGGAGGGAGGAGGGTGGCAAATGCTGATTCTAGATTTTCAACTCCAAGGACAGGTAAACACAGAGACC